CCAGAAATGAGCTTCACACAATGTACCCATGTGGGGATTCGAACCCGGGTCTTCGGAGTGACGAGGGAACGCTTTAACCACTAGGCTACCCCACCGCCCCTCAAGACCATGAAGACAATGTCAGAAACTAATGGTAGGAATATCACTATTCACATGTCACAATGAGACATTGATACAAGCAGCAACCTCTCAGTATTCTCTGAAATTATTATGTCTTGTTAGGGCCAAATTAGCAGGTCACCTGATCTGCCAGAACATCATTAATGTGCAGTAAACAGAGCCAGGTGTTTACCCTTCCAGCTTCAGTACTCAAGGACTGCTGGGTACAGATAATCAATAGGTCTTCAGCAACTTTCGTTGGTCACAAGAGATTTTGTGGATTGGGTGGTCAGGCTCCGGCACTTGGTTGACTGTATGACACTGTACCCGGTAAACCTACAGAATACCAGATACCTACCAGCAATATTGTTTAGTGTCACGTCACCCTAACCCTAAACCTTACTCTCACCCAAACCAAAAGTAAACTTGCTTGCTTTCAAAGATGGCGGAAGGTATCCAGTATTCTGTAGTCTTACCCTGTACCCTTATGATCAACATCACTGCTCATAATACCAGTCACTGGATTGTCAGGTCCAGGCTTGTTGACTTAAAGACTGGCATCATATTGATTAAATACTGTGGCATACAGCGACAGATCAATCAGATTTACACATTTTACATTTATGATTAAATCAAGTTCTGAAGTGTAACACCACTGTTTACAGATTACCTACCATATCAGTAAGTGCAGCCCACATTAACCCTTTCAACACCGCAGGCCGCTTAAGCGGCCACAACGTTATGAGTCCCCAGACACCGGAGGCCGCTTAAGCGGCCAGGCAGTAGTCACGTCAAAATGAGACATAATTTAAGGAACTTACCTGACTTATGATTCATATATTAAATCCATCACATTTCACAATGTCTGGAAACACTTATTAAATTTCAATTGATCATATATTATCGGCAGAATTAAAATTATAAACTATTTTTCGCAATGTAATTAGAAAAACAACGATTCTCGGACACATGCTTTGGCAGCGGGTCCACAATAACATTGTCAAAGAGCAAAGTAACGATGTTTCGAGGAAATGATTAAATAAATAGAATAAACTAATGAATAAAATCAACAACAACATTCATAAAAGTTGTCAAACGTACATATAAAATTACTTTTTCCATCTTTTTGTGCGATCATGTAATGCAAGTCAAGTCACTGACAAGTGACATCTCGCCTCTCGCCCCCTCAATCTTCACGCTCAGACACGATGTCTAATGCGAAAATATATGCATGAAGCATTTTTGTAACAGGTCATAACCTAGCACGATACGTCCAATAAGTTCCATAATTTACGTATATGTAGCGATTTCTTGCTTAATATGTTCAGAATAGCATTATTTTACCCAAAACTTTCGTCTATATCTAAAAGTTTTCGTTTACGAGGACGGTATCCATTGCCGTAATATGATTGGCTGCCTTAGGTCACGTGTCTGATTTTGACCAATCACGACCCTTATAGCAGACTGTAGCTTAAAAAGCGCCATTAGAAACCAACTTTTATCCAATAAAATCGCTTCTTACAACTGTGAAAATACTCTCGCAAGCGTTCAGTGATGTTGTTGATGTTCAGAGCTTTCCAACGATACCCGCATCAAACGATTCGGCCTCCCATGTTATTCATAATGAAGCTTCAAAACGGAGGTATTTTCCGTTGTTATGTCATGTTACCGAGCGGAAAGCCACAGATATCGGGAAATAGGCGACCATACATATTATTTAAGAAATCTTTTTATAATAATTTTCTGATTACGTAAAAGTGAAAATATAAAAGAAAAAGGCACGGGCATGTTATGACATGTCACAAATGGAAAAAAATCGCCTTAGTTTTTGCTTCTTTCGTGGTTTATCTGGACGTTATAAATGTAAGCTTGCATTTTCATTCAAAATAATTTTATTTAAGTTGTAGTTGTATTATTTGAATAATATTATAAAAATAAACTTCATATTTATCAACAGTAGGATTAGATCTTTTAAATGGTGTATGGGATGTAGTAGCAATAACGTTTTGCAAGCTTATAATTTCCTTCATAAACATAGGCTTCATCTATGACCTCAGAGTCTCTGGGAACTCGGTGTCATGGCAGTAAATGCCTCTGGTTGACTGGTGTTGAAAGAGTTAAACACAGTCTTCTAATTCTGGTAGAACGGTTTTAGCGTGTTTTCCAAGACAGAAAAACAAATATTAGTTTACTGATATGGCTAAGGTTACATATCGGACTGATTATTTCGGCATTAATGAACCAAACATACTTATAAGCCATCAGTAACACCAGCCCTTTATCATCTTGAGTAATGGACAAATAATGTGTAGACACAAATAGACCAATGTGTTCAGTCACATGTTGACATCTTCCGATTAGTACAATTCATCACATATCTAATTAACGGGTTTATGATGACTGATAAACTTACAGCTGTCAACAGATGCAGCAACACCTTGAACACATTCTGCTGTACAATCAACACATTGCACGGTAATTTCATGAATAATTTACTTCATCTGTCACATAAATCTTTCTATCAACCGGGAGGTTATGTGTACCAAAAAGTGATAAATAAATATCAGTATTTAGAAAACAATGGGATACTTTGCCTCAAACAGAACTGAGGTTGGTGCACAAAGAAAATTGTCAAACATCAATAGGATTATATTTCACACACAAATCAATGTACAACAACACATTCCATGGCATATTTCACATGTTTACCTTCAATAAATTATAATCAATATAATTACCTATGTATAACTACACAACATGGCCATATTTTGTAGGGACCATTATGATTATGGGGACCTACAGCAAATATCACAATGGTCATTATTCACTGTCAGATGTGCCAACTCTAAACTGAAGCAATTATCACATGAGAGTAACTGGCATCTGAAATTAATAATAATGGTTTTGACGAACATGAATCATTTTTGGCATTATATTTCATTTCCAAACTACTACAAATCTGTGAAAGTCTTGTCATATTCAGAAGATATTCAGTGACATTAGTCCTGCAGTCACAAATACCATTAATGCACATATAGCATGTAGAACACTTAATTTGTTGAGAAAATCTATCTAAAACCAAGATAAATAATATATATTATAATTGAGAAGAAATATGCGTCCACAACAGACATGTAAGTGACAGTTTGATAATCTAAATCAAGCATTATCTGCATATTCAGTTGAGTTTTACCAATATTCTGGATAAAGATGGTCACTAGGCCCAGATAAAGAGGGAAAGAGCATCATACCCATCTTGTCATGGTTGATTCAGTATAATTTTCAAATCTTGAAATAGAAGTTCTAATACAAAACTTGAATATGTTCAAAGTAAGCATAACTTAAACTAAGCATACATTTTAATAAGGCTGTAACGATTCACTGGCAGATATGCAATAATGGAATGTACTAGCATTGCAGTAGTGCAAGTCATGTTAGTTTGCCAAGACTGCACATGGTACTGTCGACTATAACTATTACATACCAAATTTGAGTGTCATGAGATCACTGGTTATTGCTGTGACAAATCAAAACTGTCAACATGGGCGTTCCATATTGTACATCAATCACTGAACTACAATATTGTATTTGTGAATAATTATTCGTATTGTCTACCCAATATTCATAATATTAAATCATATTTCAGATTTAACTGACATAGTGTATTCGTTGCAGCTACTTTTTAATGAATTTTTTTGTTTACAAATTTAGTCTTAGGTCTTTGATTAGCATTTAGAAGTGATACACATGAGGAAGAGAGTTTTTATGTATATCAACCAAATTATTATTATTCATAACAAAGAAGTTGACATCCATAAAAAATCTCTTCCTTAATTTCAGTCTTGTTCTTATATTATAATGAAATCGCTGATCACAAAATCTGCATTTACATCCATGACAATCAGACATGTATGCACTAGCAGCTTTTACACTGTCATGACCTTCACATTAATCCTTTGACTTGCCAACACGGCATATTTCAGTTATTGATAAGGAAACTCGACCATGTATAGTGTACTTGTTGTGTGGGCACAGCCGATTACACATCACTGCTTGACATGCACAAAGATCATCAATACTGAACACGTTATATACTGATTTACCTTTACAGACTTCAGACTATCATATAGCATTCGCCACACAAATTCAGTTACTTGTCATCCGTAGGCTTTATATTTGCTGATAATAAATTCAAGCTTTACAACATGACGAGGGTTGAAAGCGATGGCTGTCGAGTGTGACAGACCCTATCTGGGGAATAGAACCAACTGCAAATGACAGGGAAGGAAAGTAGCTAGGGCTGCTAGAGTGGGCCTCCATCCATATGAGCACTGTATGATACAATACATATCACAACACATTATCTGTAGTAGTTGAGTCATCGGTCCTTTGCTGCTGACACAACATGCACGGAACGAGAATAAAAAGCCAAAGAAGAGTACTTGTTTTTTCAGCAAAACAGTTGTTCAAACTTAAGACCTAAATATTTTACAATGCTAAAAAATTCAGATTTTAACAAGGCGAGGAGAGGTGGGTAAAAGGGTTCTTAGAAGTCACATGAAGATAATTTCACTCATTTAGCAATGAGTGAGTGCATACATGTGTGTGCCTGTACTAGTCAGCACTTCTGTTGGTTTAATGGTGCCCGCCCACTGAGAAACATGTACATAGTATATATACTCCAAACCATTGCATTGTCCCCTTAATGCTGAGCGCCAGGCAGGGTAACAACAACTACCATCTTCTAACACTGATCTGCTCTCCATGCAGGTGCTCTATTCACAACAACCCACAGGTGGTATTTTTAAGAAGACCAAGGACATTCGTCAGTCCAGAACACATGAAGTGCTAATAAATGACTGCTACTGGTCAGTAGCCCTCAGTATCTGAGATTTCCTTACCTTGATTGTTTGGCTCAGGTAGGTTTTCCCTTGCAACCAGGTGCATCACAGTTGTCTTTCCGGTGGGTAACTGCAGAGCTGGAACAAATATAGAAATATATCAGTTCATGATGACAACTCATTAAGCCAACTAGAATGAGTATTTCCATTGTTGTTTGACACTATTTTCAGCAATATTCCAGCGCTCTGATGGAGGTCTCTAAATAATTTGAATCTGAACCAGACAATCCAGTAATTGAGCACAGAGCCATGCATTTTATATCGTCAAGTCACACAAGTTCGATCGTCATGTAACTTCGATCGCCCATTTTGAATGGTAATTGTCACAATACGTAGCGATAACTTACGATCTCTGCAGCTTTGATCTTCTGGTGACACCACTTTCATTCGTTTGGACCGGAAAATGTTTCGTGTCAAGTTACCAAATGTAAGTTATAGCTCATTTTCAGCAAACAACTACTTTTTAACCCTAGATCCATAATGTAACTTTATCAGCTCAAATAAAATGTAAACAGTATAAATTTCACACGTTGTAAATTGACAGCACCCCTGTCTTCTGTTTGTTTACGTTGCTGGTCTAATTGTGACATGTCCAGACACGTGATATCCTTGTCAAAATTTAAAACTTTGGAAACAAGTATGGGCCATTTCTTATAGAAAACTTAATGCTTTTTGAGAATTTCCGTGAATTTGTACCTGATGAAGTTCGAGCTATTGCCTCATTGATAAATACAACCTGGGCACAATGTACCCACATGTCAGCACAGAACACATTTACGTTTCTGTAAGCCAGTTCATGGTGTTTGTCTACATTCTGAGGTTTGATGCCCTTCACGATGAGCCTGAAGAATAATTCCCTGCATAATACTTGTATATAAGCTGAATATTTGTGACTTTTCATTGTTTTTAGAAGTATTGAAACATAAAATGAACGTTTCATGGACATAAATACCATAAAATTGTTTGGAACTGCTCTAGCTCTGAATTTGACACAAGAGATCGTCCTTACAAGTCATCCTGTTTACGCGACAAGCCAGCCAATCATATGATCGAACTTATGTGACGTAGCTTTCTGGGTCACTTGTGTTGACAGTGAGAGGGCGGCCATGCCGCGATTGTGAAAAGCAGTAAAAATACCTGGATTTTGGAAATGTTTGACATAAATAAACAAGTTTAGAGGTAAGAGATTTGAAAATAAGATTATATGAATAAAACTTTGAAAATTCAGCGACAGTTCTTAAGTGATCGAACTTACATGACACAAGGATATACAATGACCCTGTATCAACCCTGACCACCAAATACATTTAATCATTAAAAATAAACTATGCTTCCTTCCTATCACATGGAAAAATAGAGGGTTTGTTTGGGAAGGTACGGAAGTAGGTACATACACACAATGATTGCATTGTTTTCAAATATTTTACATGGGATATCAATCACTTAAAGTCTCTGGTTGCATACATCACATAAAATATGCTAGACAATTTCAAAATAACCTTTCAAGAGACAGGATACCAGCTTGCCTTTCCGAACATTTTTGTTACGCCCTATTTCTTTCGCATTTACACTGTTAAGTAAACAGGAAAATGATGACAAAAAGAATTTCACACACTATCTATCATCACATAACCTGATAATGGTGGCCTTCCCCTATTGAAGTATAAGAAAATACCCAGAAATACAAGACAATCCTGTGAGAGCAATAAGCAACACTCCATGACGCTGAGTACAACACGTTTATAAATCAAGTAAGGCAGTCTGACCTCCTCATTCACTAAGTTGCCTCTTATGACCAGCAAAGGTTGGTGAGCCGAATTCAACCACCTCACCCAGCTAAATACCAATGATAAAAACACTGCTGTTTGATACTCAGAAATCTTTGGAACTTCCATCAAGGGGGCATATACACTGTTTCCAGACGAGAAATTGAACCAATCTGTGCATTGAAAAACAATTAAAACTTGATTACATATCATGGAGGAAGGTCGTTTAACACCATGGTAATGAATACTGCAGGTAACTAACAGCTCTTGTAGCCATGTCAGGAAGCTTGAAATAACCGAGCCTGGATCACAGACCCTGGTGGGCAGTTGACTACTAGCACTAGTTTTCAACTAATAGATTTGATCATCTTTAATCATAGACATCCAAGATTCTTAATACATATGGAATCAAATTTTTGACTACCCAAACTATATCATACCCAGGGTATGAAACAGGGCTGGTTAGATGTAAAGCTTGCCAGCTCTGACCAAAACTCTGTTTATTTCAGATTTATGAGTGAATTAATAATGATTTATTATCCTGAAATATGATGAATATCTTCATATACGTGTCTAAATTTTAACCCATCATCGGGCAGGTGAATTTGAGAATCTGGCAGTCCGTGTCGAAAATAACCCGTCCCGGGCAGTCGGGCAGGCAGGTATTTCGAACGCTGTCATACCCATTAAACAAGCATGGACATATTTTACCAGAAGTGTCAGTGCTCATGCTGTTGATCACTGGATTGTCTGGTCAAGACTCTATTTACAGACGACCGCCATATAGCTGGAATATTGCTGAGTGCTGCGTTAAACAACAAACAAACAAACTGAAGTGTCAAAGGGAATCCTTTGTGAATTGAGTGATATAGAGATCATGTAGTTAAACAACAACAATCATTGAATGAAACACACATGTCAGTCACGGTACAATACACTAAAACCTTGCTACTTAATGAGGAATGTTCAGTCTCCAAAGGGAAAAGTAAGAGCCTCAACAATGGCTTTTATAGTTGGTTTAGGTCCACAAACTGAGTTAGTGAGTTGGGTTTTATGCCACTTTTAGCAATCTTCCAGCAATATCACTGAAATGGGCTTCACACATTGTACCCACGTGGGGAATCGATCCTGTAATCTTCGGCATGATGAGCAAATGCTTTAACCACTAGGCTACCCCACCGTCCCTCCACAAACTGAACAACAGCTAGTGAACTGAATCAGATCGTGAGTTGGGTTATCGTCAAATCAAAATGTTTTTCAGTTGCATTATGGCGTGACAGCTTTAAGTGAGAACCTGATGTGGTGCAGGTCTCAGGTGTTGCCATTAGTGAAGCAGGTATTAGTGAGAAACAAAAATATCATCAGGGCAAATCTGAGATTTGACCCCATGTTTCTGGATCATTCTCTGCACCGTGCATCAAATGACTGGGCCACTTGCACCCGAAGAAAATTCCATCAGAAAAAAGCTCCTTATTTTTTTCAGAGAAAACATATTCTCCTTTTACACACCAGAAGACACAATGTCATATCAACAAGCACCTACAATTTATCAAGACAGCCATGTAAGTGGACTAGGGAAAACAATATGAATAAAAAGACAAAAACAATAGGAATGCGATATACATAAAAGGTCAACACCAGAGAGTAATCAGTTTCGATTATCTGCAGAAACAGATTCTATTGGGAATAAAACGCTTAAGAGTGTTGAAATATTTATGAATGGATTTCTGAAAATGAGCGATAACACCAGGTGTTTGAAAAAAAGGTTAAGAATGTCCAACCATACCAGTTGTACATACCACTCAAACAATTCGTTAAAAAAAGCTGCATTATGCGATACAGTTTACAGGATATGCATGACATAGTTTGTGTATCTATAACACAACAGGGATGTAAGTCAGTATTTCAGGAATTTGAAAGTGCTGAGTCTCTCACACACTGTTTCACCAACATGAAGCCATGTGGATATTCTGACTGTGTATTGACCATAACAAGAATTGAATTGTCAATAAATTGTGATACATTAAGAATAATTTGGTACAAAACTTAAGCAAGCAGGAAATGAAACCTTTCAAAATTTCCCAGTAGACCACAGGACCAGCGAGTGGACAGTAATTTGTGGTCCTGTCTGTACTTCACTGGTCCAAAATAAAATTCATAGATTTACCCTAACTATCAATACAAAATTCACTGGCCACCAGAACCATTACAAGTTATCATTTAGTGGTCCTGATGAATTTTTACTAGCCAGTGACCACAGGACCAGCGTAGATTTCAATCACTGGTAAAGACAAGAAAACGTATGCTGTGTTGCATCAATACAGGCGCAAACTCATTCTTAATGATCCTCCAAATGTTTCAGAAACATTCACTAGATTTAAGAAAACAACAAGTTTCATTTCCTGTTACACATCTTAAACTTTGTTTTGGAAAACTAGGCAATTACCTCCCATACATACAGAATTTGACATAACATCTAAACAGCAAATGAGCTAAAACGCCTATTTAGGCCGAAACTGGGTCAAACCACATTCTGATTTTTGATGAACTGACGTGTTTGCATTGTCTCTTTCTCATTATTGTTGTAAAGTTTAAAATAAATGTCATATTTCCGTGTTTAGATAAAAACATTACAGAACAACTGACAACACATCAAGACACTTAACAACTAGCTGTTCCAAAATGACATATTATTAACAATTGTTTATGAAAACAGAAATGCATGTACTTTCTATTCAATTTCCCGTAAGTGCCATAGACTTTTCAGAAAACATTTCCATACTGACAATGGCAGTATAGACACTGGGGAAATAACAAGGAGAGAGAAAAATCACTTCAGCATTTCCACCATTTTTGGCCAATCAATTTCAAAGGGAAACATCTATGAATGAATTTCCCTGTGAAGTTCAGAACAAAAGACACAAATTAATAACAAAAAACTTCTGACAAATTGTTTATCTGATATACAAGAACAAAGAAAACACACTGCAAATATGTATTGCTTGAAAAGCGTATTGTGCAATACGGGTAATACCATGTGGTCCTAGTGACAGGCAGTTCATGTCATATGAAGGTAATTTAACAAGTAAGATAAGCAACAATTTATAACCTCTTCAGCCCTGTATTACACCCAGCCCAAGGTGAAGCCACTGAGATCGAAAGTATGACAAATGCAGCACACAATAAATATAATCTATTTTTTTCCAAGTTAATACATATGAATGTACCCAAAAAATAGAATTGCCTCATAGGCTATGGGATCACAGTAAATTTTACTTGACAAAAGACAAAAATAAACATTTTGGCTTTGCTTTATGTATAGTGTCAATAATGTCTTTGAAAGTGCTATCCTTTATGAACATAATAGATATGTTTACAGGAAGCAAGCTTTCCCGTAGCCTCTCCAAACTAGGTGTCATTATGACTCTCTTGCTGGGCTACAGGGAATCACACGTCTTTTGAACTCAGCCATTTTATGTGTTCCCCAGTATCAGATAAAGCTCACTAATGCTATCATGTTGTCAAGGGATATGACTGTTTCAAATTTTAATATTTCAACAGTATAGTGCAATTAATTTATTGATTTTGACAGACTGAAAGATCAGAGCCCATACTGATGCAGTGAGAGTAATTATGCTGCATAATTTCTACATAGACGGTCAAATATGCATGTTTTCTGCATCAGGGTAAACTCTGATGAAAGTTTGTCTGAAACATCTGACCTATCATATAGAAGAACAACTGTGGATCTTGATCATTTGTCTACTACTGGTGTTGAACATTGTGAAATATAAACATGGCCTTATATACGACCTGCGAACAACCCTATCCGAAGTAAACACACAGGTGTCACGATGCTCTATCATCCATTGCAAAATGCCAAAATGAATAGTAGGTCAGAATAGTAGGTCCCAGGTGAACACAAACACTGTACATGTAACAATTCACTGGGTAGGATAATAAGCAGTGAACCCAACCACCTAACATCACAATCTCATCCAGGAGTCACCCTGTATGACAGAACTGGTCCAAGCTGCCTATGACTAACCAGTGTGGGTTTGGTTCTCAACACATAATAGTAAAAACTGAAATTCTTTCCTTACACATTCAGAATCATCTATGGATCTCTTGTACCAATATCCAATCATGAAATGATCACAATATGCCTTCACAAAACCATTCTTGAATGAATGAGTGTGTGACAGTGAGCTGTGCCTATTGCTACTGAAACTGAACAGTATTCTATATTGTTATCCTTACAAGATCTGCAATGAATACACTATGATGCTATTACAATATCTTTAGGAATATACAGTTACGAATACAAATATATTTTCATGAATACTTTGTTTAATATCAATGAATTGAAATACCAAACAGGTCATGTAGTTGTTTAGGTTGAAACATTTCAGCATTATTTTCAATATTTTCTGTAAAGCAAAAGAAAATAACACATTGCAAATAATACTTTTTATACCCTAATGGCACTACCCTAAGTGGTCTATAAAATAACAAAAGTTAAGCTACTGCATTTCTAGGACATATTCCATTTTGTGCAGCTCACTTAGATAAACAACTAAGCAGTTTGAGAGGAAATATCACACTCTTATTAATATTGTAAACAGGGATAGAAATGCAATTTTTTCGAAGGGTGCAATTTGGGCACCAGCCAGATAACTAGGGTGTGCCTTTGTAAAAATAAGTGTACCCATTCTTTTGATGATCCAATCACACTTAAAACATCACAACAATTATGTCATTTCATTTATTGTGTAATTAATCAGTGATCATGTAAACCTGTAAACTTGAGAGCTGGATTTCCTGGGTGCCGTTGTACAAAGCGATCTTAGCGTTAAGGTGACCGTAACTCCCATACCTTAACATAGGCTTAAGGTAGCCTTAGCGCTAAGGTTGTTTTGTACAACGGCACCCTGAACATTATCATGAACAGTTCAGCTTCATTTATCCTGGTCCACTAAAATTAACCCACTAACTGCTATCATCCCAAACCAGATTTCCTGTTATAGGTATTGCCATTCAAAATAGCCATGCTCATGTTAATCTGAAAGAATGCCAATGATAAACAGTTTCATGAAGTGCAAAAATAGCCTTGAATCATGTGAGTTAACTGTATTTTACATTAAATGAAAAATGGTGAGTATTACTTTTATAAGTTTAGCCATGCCACCAGGGCACAGTGAAAATATTTCATGTAAGCCAACTCAATATTTACTGTGCCAAAGAATGCAAATTCAGCACTATTTCAATTCTAGTGACCACAAATAATGAATTGAAATCATGAAGGGATAAAATTTGAACTGGAATCATCTTTACAAACAAAGCAAGCCATCTTCATATGGCAAGAAAACTCGTAGTAATTATCACATAGGAGAAAACCCATGAACACACGAACAGTGATGACAAACCAAGAACCAATTTGAGAGCTAACATGAATTCCAACCCATCTGTAGCTTGCCCAAATCTGTACAATCTGAGTCTCTGACAACTGGGTCACCCTTACCCAACTTATATAACTTCAACTGCTGACAAAATACAAAATACTTTAATGTTCAGCCCTCTGGAAGGTATATTCAAGTGTCTTAACCCAAAATATATCCCAGACTATCTACAAGTTCAAAGATAGGTGAATCATAGAGCAATAAATTAGCAACAAACAGCATTTCTGGGGATGGAAATAGTGCCTAATGTTATGTACAGTAAATATTGAAATGGCATGGATGAAATATTTTCAATGTGCACTGGCAGCATGACTAAAATAAAAAAAAATAAACACCATGGTTCATTTAATTGAAAATGCAATAAATTTAGCCAAATGAAATAATTCAAGACTTGTTTTTGCACCTCATCAAACTGTTTATTGGTGACACTCTCAATCTCACAGCATGGCCATTTTGAATGCCAGTATGCAGGAAATCCTGGTTTGGATGATAACATTGTTTGTGGGTTACCAGGTAGTTTATTGGGCCAGGACAAATGAAGCTCAACTATTCTTGAAGTCATGTTTGTGTTTAGGAAATGCAGCTCACAATTTTATAGGTTTATGTAATGTTAACTGATCTATTAAACAATAAATTGAAATGAAAGTATTGTTGTGATGTTTCAAACTGAATTGGATCATGAAAAGGCATGGTTATTTTTTCAAAGGCACACTTAAATTATGACACACTTGGAAAACATAGCATTCTTATCCTTTACTTCATATTTCCCAATCAAAATATGCATAGTTTCCATTACTGTAACAGATAAAAATTGGGAACTTTAGTAACGTTGCACAGATACGAGGGAAAGAGAAAATGTTCTGTTAATAAGTTCTTATAGTCAACTTTCAAAAGCATCTGTCACGTTTTCAACAACATTTAACCTTGACCCTTTCAAGACACCTGACCTTGTTTTCTGCATCTCCATCAATTATATACACATGTATCAAATTCTTTCAAAAACAATTGTTCAAAACCTGGAATGCACAATGTAGCACAGAGATGCATACTATTTCTATATTCAATTAAGGTATGTGACATCAAATATACCAGCTGTCCCATAATCACTATAGTGCATATCGATCACATTGTTCTGAAAAAGAGTATATATGGCGTGTCAACAGATGTCGCAGCTAATAAGGGACATGTGATATGGTGGCTTGCTTTGGTCTCATGGAATTACACCAAAGACTTAAATCCAAATATGCACATAAACTTGATAAAATGCCGGATGATACGGAGTATATTGCATTTTTGATGTATATCATTTTCCACATGTTTAGTTGGATTTACATCAGTATCCATCTGATAACTGTATTATAAACAACATTTATTGACATATTAGCAAAATGCTAAAAGCATGTGAGCTTGGTTGTTGCCATATTAAACACATTTCAGTCCTCAACTTACAATTCAGATTGATGAGATGGGAAAGCTTGAAGAGCTACAGGTCTCGGGTGTTTACCACTGTGGTGAAACCCATTAGCATGGACAAGGAGACCAATCAGGTCAAACTGGGGTTAAAACCAGGGATCCTAGGTTTCAGGTATGTCTAAGGGACTCAACTCTTCCCAGCGATAACTTGGACGACTGGGCCACCATGTCTCACAAACATACAAGACACTATGTGGGCAGATGCTATACATCAAACAATGATAAATAAAAGCTATGAAAGTAAAGTTGTCCTTCTTTAAGTCGCATTTACAAGCTGGTATGAAGAAGAACAAGGGACTAAGCTGGTACTGACAGTAATCAGGGCTACAGATAAGGGGCGTACAGGCGTAATGTATGCCTCAAAATCAAATAAGTACGACATAATATAAGATTTCAAGCGTATAGTGTACCCACATAAATACCTTTGTACGTCTAACATTTAATTTCCGTGTGTATCATACAAATGGAAATCTATTTCGGATAAATACTTGTCAAGTTTCTTTTGCTAAACACGATTTGACACATGAGAAAACCCCGACAGTAGGAATCACTTGCGTTGCCATGCAACGATATGCGTCACTATTTTTCGATTGGCTAAAAACTACACTGTTCCTATTTATATCCAGTCGGACCTGACATTTCGCGCATCAGACGGTCGCTCAGTTATTTCTCGCGCGTCTTCAAATACAAATACATGGTTGGAAATAGTGATCGATGAATCGTCCAGACAAACCACATCACCAACTCGCTCACACAAAAACATGTCAGTACTCCTTCAAAATTCTCAGTACACCTCCACTTGCAATATGATGTGTAAGTACACTTACACCCCCCAAAAGTTATCTGGAGCCCTGGTAATATAACGAAAACTGTTGGAAATTCCACACACCCTAAGTCTTCATCTTTTTCCCCATACTAAGGACACAGAAACCATCAACAAGGATTCACTGAATTTCACTCTTACTTTCACACAATGAAATCATTTTCCACTCATGTACAACTGTCTCTATAATAATTACATAAAGCTGTAATGCAATCTACCTCTCCCAGGAACTGAGCAGAAATTATGCAAATACCTACCAGCTAATGTGACGTTACCATGGAGAAATCGTCCTTGGTATATGAGCCGCAGAATGTTGGTTGGGGGTAGCTGCTCTTCTGACCAATCTGAAATATCGATGGACAACATATTGTATTCAAATAATCAACAAAATGAATAACTCATATTACATTAATTGCAGTCAAGGACAAGGTGGTTGAACAGAGTTGCATGTCCCAATCTATCATAGCGGAGTGAATGTTATTGAGTCACAGCCAAGTGGTTGGCAGAGGATCTTTGCCCCAACCCATCATGGTGGTCTGTATGTTATTGAGTTACAACCAAGTGGTTGGCAGAGGGATCATTGCCTCAACCCATCATGGGGGTCTCTATGTTATTGAGTCAAGGCCAAGTGGTTGGCAGAGAGATCATTGCCCCAACCCATCATGGTGGTCTCTATGTTATTGAGTTACAGCCAAGTGGTTGGCAGAGGGATCAATGCCCCAACCCATCATGGGGGTCTCTATGTTATTGAGTCAAGGCCAAGTGGTTGGCAGAGGGATCAATGCCCCAACCCATCATGGGGGTCTCTATGTTATTGAGTTACAGCCAAGTGGTTGCAGAGAGATGAGTCAAGGCCAAGTGGTTGGCAGAGATCATTGCCCCAACCCATCACGGTAGTCTCTATGTTGGCATTGACTTACAACCAAGTGGTTGTTATTGAGAGAGTGGTTGGCATTGCCCCAACCCATCATGGTGGTCTCTATGTTATTGAGTCACAGCCAAGTGGTTGGCAGAGGGATCATTGCCTCAACCCATCATGGTGGTCTGTATGTTATTGAGTCAAGGCCAAGTGGTTGGCAGAGAGATCTTTGCCCCAACCCATCATGGTGGTCTGTATGTTATTGAGTTACAGCCAAGTGGTTGGCAGAGAGATCATTGCCCCAACCCATCATGGTGGTCTGTATGTTATTGATTACAGTAGTCCAAATTGGATTACAGCCAAGTGGTTGGCAGAGAGATCATTGCCCCAACCCATCATGGTGGTCACTATGTTATTGAGTCACAGCCAAGTGGTTGGCAGAGGGATCATTGCCCCAACCCATCATGGTGGTCTGTATGTTATTGAGTCAAGGCCAAGTGGTTGGCAGAGGGATCAATGCCCCAACCCATCATGGTGGTCTCTATGTTATTGAGTCAAGGCCAAGTGGTTGGCAGAGAGATCATTGCCCCAACCCATCATGGTGGTCTCTATGTTATTGAGTCAAGGCCAAGTGGTTGGCAGAGGGATCATTGCCCCAACCCATCATGGTGGTCTCTATGTTATTGAGTCAAGGCCAAGTGGTTGGCAGTGAGATCATTGCCCTAACCCATCATGGTGGTCTGTATGTTATTGATTACAGCCATGGTGGTTGGCAGAGAGATCATTGCAGAGAGATCATTGCCCTAACCCATCATGGTGGTCTGTATGTTATTGATTACAGCCAAGTGGTTCGCAGAGAGATCATTGCCCCAACCCATCATGGTGGTCACTATGTTATTGAGTCAAGGCCTAATGGTTCGCAGAGGGATCATTGCCCTAACCCATCATGGTGGTCTGTATGTTATTGATTACAGCCAAGTGGTTGGCAGAGAGATCATTGCCCTAACCCATCATGGTGGTCTCTATGTTATTGAGTCAAGGCCAAGTGGTTGGCAGAGAGATCATTGCCCCAACCCATCATGGTGGTCACTATGTTATTGAGTCACAGCCAAGTGGTTGGCAGAGGGATCATTGCCCCAACCCATCATGGTGGTCTCTATGTTATTGAGTCAAGGCCAAGTGGTTGGCAGAGGGATCAATGCCCCAACCCATCATGGTGGTCTCTATGTTATTGAGTCAAGGCCAAGTGGTTGGCAGAGATCATAGCCCCAACCAATCATGGTGGTCTCTATGTTATTGAGTCAAGGCCAAGTGGTTGGCAGAGGGATCATTGCCCCAACCCATCATGGTGGTCTCTATGTTATTGAGTCAAGGCCAAGTGGTTGGCAGAGAGATCATTGCCCTAACCCATCATGGTGGTCTCTATGTTATTGAGTCAAGGCCAAGTTGGTTGGCATGAGAGATCATTTGCCCAACCCATCATGGTGGTCCTGTATGTTATTGAGTCCCACAAGAGGGATCATTGCCCTAACCCATCATGGTGGTCTGTATGTTATTGATTACAGCCAAGTGGTTCGCAGAGAGATCATTGCCCTAACCCATCATGGTGGTCTCTATGTTATTGAGTCAAGGCCAAGTGGTTGGCAGAGAGATCATTGCCCCAACCCATCATGGTGGTCTGTATGTTATTGAGTTACAGCCAAGTGGTTGGCAGAGAGATCATAGCCCCAACCAATCATGGTGGTCTCTATGTTATTGAGTCAAGGACAAGTGGTTCGCAGAGGGATCATTGCCCCAACCCATCATGGTGGTCTCTATGTTATTGAGTCAAGGCCAAGTGGTTGGCAGTGAGATCATTGCCCTAACCCATCATGGTGGTCTGTATGTTATTGATTACAGCCAAGTGGTTGGCAGAGAGATCATTGCCCTAACCCATCATGGTGGTCTGTATGTTATTGATTACAGCCAAGTGGTTCGCAGAGAGATCATTGCCCCAACCCATCATGGTGGTCACTATGTTATTGAGTCAAGGCCTAATGGTTCGCAGAGGGATCATTGCCCTAACCCATCATGGTGGTCTGTATGTTATTGATTACAGCCAAGTGGTTCGCAGAGAGATCATTGCCCTAACCCATCATGGTGGTCTCTATGTTATTGAGTCAAGGCCAAGTGGTTGGCAGAGAGATCATTGCCCCAACCCATCATGGTGGTCACTATGTTATTGAGTCACAGCCAAGTGGTTGGCAGAGGGATCATTGCCCCAACCCATCATGGTGGTCTCTATGTTATTGAGTCAAGGCCAAGTGGTTGGCAGAGGGATCAATGCCCCAACCCATCATGGTGGTCTCTATGTTATTGAGTCAAGGACAAGTGGTTGGCAGAGGGATCATTGCCCCAACCCATCATGGTGGTCTCTATGTTATTGAGTCAAGGCCAAGTGGTTGGCAGAGAGATCATTGCCCTAACCCATCATGGTGGTCTCTATGTTATTGAGTCAAGGCCAAGTGGTTGGCAGAGCATTGCCCCAACCCATCAGAGATCATTGCCCCAACCCATCATGGTGGTCTGTATGTTATTGATTACAGCCAAGTGGTTGGCAGAGAGATCATTGCCCCAACCCATCATGGTGGTCTCTATGTTATTGAGTCAAGGCCAAGTGGTTGGCAGAGAGATCAGAGATTGCCCCAACCCATCATGGTGGTCTGTTATGTTATTGATTACAGCCAAGTGGTTGGCAGAGATTGAGTTCATTGCCCCAACCCATCATGGTGGTCTGTATGTTATTGAGTTAAGGCCAAGTGGTTCGCAGAGAGGGATCATTGCCCCAACCCATCATGGTGGTCTGTATGTTATTGATTCAGTCAAATGGTTGAGCAGTGGTTGGCAGAGATCATTGCCCCAACCCATCATGGTGGTCTGTATGTTATTGAGTGGTTACAGCCAAGTGGTTGGCAGAGAGTGGTTGGCAGAGAGATCATTGCCCCAAACCATCATGGTGGTCTGTATGTTATTGATTACAGTCAAATGGTTCAACCCATCATGGTGGCAGAGAGATCAGTGGTTCAAGCAGAGAGATCATTGCCCTAACCCATCATGGTGGTCTGTATGTTATTGAGTCAAGGCCAAGTGGTTGGCAGAGAGATCATTGTCCCAACCCACCATGGTGGTCTGTATTTTATTAAATTTAGGCCAAGTGGTTGGCAGAGAGATCATTGCCCCAACCCATCATGGTGGTCTGTATGTTATTGAGTTACCAACCAAGTGGTTGGCAGTGAGATCATTGCCCCAACCCATCATGGTGGTCTGTATGTTATTGAGTCAAGGCCAAGTGGTTGGCAGTGAGATCATTGCCCCAATCCATCATGGTGGTCTGTATGTTATTGAGTCAAGGCCAAGTGGTTGGCAGTGAGATCATTGCCCCAACCCATCATGGTGGTCACTATGTTATTGAGTTACAGCCAAGTGGTTGGCAGAGAGATCATTGCCCCAACCCATCATGGTGGTCTGTATGTTATTGAGTCTGAACAAGGTGTTAGGTGGAGGGATGAATGTCATACACTTCAGGGTATGATGACACAATCAGACAGGGACCTTTGTCTTATTCCTTAACTTGAACACATTTACATTGAGGTATTCTTCGATTTACACTCAGTTGGTTTGCTTTTGGGGGGTTTAAAATATTGGTCAAGAGTGCTCTACTTATACAGCGATGCACTTGTGTAAGACGCTGATAGGTGATACCCAGTTCAGACACACAACACTTATTCAAAACAGAGAAGCCCTTGTCTTATCTTCTTCAAAACCAAGATAACAACAAGTACCATCTATATACATTATTTTTGGCTTACTAGTTTGGTGATTGAACCTGATACCTTCTGCTTTCTGTTCGGACACAAAAAGTGTATTCCATGACAGCATAGTAACAGACACATCTTTCTAATTTCTAACTGAACTATGCTATTGCTTGTATCATGTTCTTAAACTTTTCTTTAACGTTTTATTTTGTGTCTGAATCTACCAAAGTACCAGTAATGTGTACTTTTTTATGATGAAATATTCCAAGCATCCACAACGACTGTGAACAAACAGCTGAAATGATCTCACTGTCTGTTATATAATTCATGTTACATATACATATATGTCCAACATGCTCAAGCTGTCATCATGATCACCTGGTCCAAGGCCAACCATGGAAAATGGAAACCAGTCTGACTAATTTGACTGATGTTATATTTGACCTGATTAATATTAACATGCACATAACATGCACATAACATGCACACAATTTGGACTTGGTCAAAATTATGTAAACAACATGCATACAAATAATAGTATTAATACAAAAGACATATTTACAACATTGACAATCAATGAACTTAGTCTTATCAAGGAAAGATTGATGTGAAATTTAGTCTTGTAAAAGAAAGATATAACAATTCATCAGTGTTCAAAATTTAGAATGGAACTTGAGGTGACTTTGCTGGA